GCGGCGCCGCGGCCGCTGTCCCCTGTCTCGCGGGACCCGCCTCGGCACGCCACGCACTCATGCCTATTGTCATCCCCCTCGCGCTAATAAAATTGTCCCTCCTGCAGGCGAGGCATGTCGGGAAATTAATTTTATCTAATTATCCTGATGTCACCGCCGTCTTTCAGCGCGTAATTAAAATGTGACCTGCGAGCTTCCTCCTCTATTCTCCACCGGAGAGAAAAAACACAAACTGAATTAAACAAATCAAGTGTTTGGTGGCTGATTGTGTCCCTCCTCCCTGTCTGTGGTGGCTGATCCACACACACACACACACACACACACACACACACACACACACACACACACACACACACACACACACACACACACACACACACACACACGCACACACACACGTTCTTTCACCCTCGTTCTCTCTCACACACACTCACTTGTTCTGTGTATGTGTCCCCACAGCGTACGGTGCAGAAGAATGCCAAATATGTGTGCCTGGCCAGTAAGAACTGTCCCGTGGACAAACGGAGACGCAACCGCTGCCAGTACTGCCGCTTCCAGAAGTGCCTCAGTGTCGGCATGGTGAAGGAGGGTAAGAAACACACACACACGATCACAATCAGTCCCATTAGCTAATTTTCCTATAGAACACACCTTCTAATAAGGTAAATCTGACCCCTGGTCTCCATGGTGATGGTGTGTATCTCTAATAATGGTGTGATTGGCCGGTAATGGTCTGGCCTATACAGCGGTCACACAGGTGCACACGCCCGATGCACACATTTTGCTTTGGTAAGAGAAGGACTTAAGTGGTGAAAAGCAGACAGACTGGCATCTCCTACTGATTGTAGGACCCACACATGCCATGGGTCCCACAGGAGTCCTGATTTAATGTCACCCTCTAACTCTTTTACTGTAACTCTCACACAGTAACTCTCACACAGTAACTCTCACACAGTAACTCTCACACAGTAACTCTCACACAGTAACTCTCACACAGTAACTCTCACACAGTAACTCTCACACAGTAACTCTCACACAGTAACTCTCACACAGTAACTCTTACACAGTAACTCTCACACAGTAACTCTCACACAGTAACTCTCACACAGTAACTCTTACACAGTAACTCTCACACAGTAACTGTCACACAGCTCCACTGCCCTCTGCTGGCCAGTAACAGTGGGAATAGTGGAACAGTGGGAAGGATGGGACTGGGATTTTCATCTTTCATCAGCAGCATACCAAGATGAGCCATACCTGCTGTCCTCACCCTTTCTCCCTCTAATGTGGTACAGCTCTCTCTCCTGTCTGAAATCTGATCTATCTCTCCTGTCTGAAATCTGATGTCTCTCTCCTGTCTGAAATCTGATCTCTCTCGCCTGTCTGAAATCTAATCTCTCTCTCTCTCTCCTGTCTGAAATCTGATCTCTCTCTCCTGTCTGAAATCTGATCTCTCTCTCTCTTCTCCTGTCTGAAATCTGATCTCTCTCTCTTCTGTCTGAAATCTGATCTCTCTCTCTATGGTCTCTCCTCAGTGGTGCGTACAGACAACCTGAAGGGCCGTCGAGGTCGTCTGCCCTCCAAACCAAAGAGCCCTCTGCAGGCGGAGTCCTCACCTCCCTCGCCTCCCCTCAGTCTGCTCTCTGCTCTGCTCAGGGCCTACTCACACTGCACTCCCAGGGAACTAGACTACAGCCAGGTAGGCTACCTGTGTCTCTCTCTCTCTCTCTCTTGCTGTCGTCTTTCGTCATTCTAGCTGGTCATGCTGTTGATCTCTCTCTCTTAGCTCTTTCTCTCTCTCTCTCTCTTCTCTCATCTCTCTCTCTCCTCTCCTCTCTCCATCTCTCTTCCCTTCTCTCTACTTCCCCACCATCCCTCCCTTACTTTCTGTCCGATACGTTCATCGCGATAGCCCCTCTCTCCATCTCCTCTCTCGCCTCATCCACCCTCTAAGCTGCTCACCCTCTCCATGGCCGAGTGTTCAGTGCGGCCGGACGCCCCTCCTCCTCCTCCTCTGACGCCCAGTACATCCAGCTCTTCTATAGGCTGCTCACCGTCTCCATGGAAACCACACGTTGCTGGGCCGACCGGCTGCCCGGCTTCAATGAGCTTCACCGCGATGACCAGAACCTGCTCATAGATTCTGCCTTCCTGGAGCTCTTCGTCCTGCGATTGGCCCACAGGTAAGACACACACCCGGCCACACCCACCTGGCCTTGCCTACACACACCTGACAACACCCACCTGGCCACACCTACCTGGCCACACCCACCTGGCCACACCACCTGGCCACACCCACCTGGCCACACACACCTGGCCACACCTACCTGGCCACACCCACCTGGCCACACATACCTGGACCACACCTACCTGGCCACACCCACTTGGCCTTTTCCCTAGCTGTGTTTTCTTTACTTTATGAAAGGAGATCATCATGACACACACACGATTCCGATCCCTTGAGTCTGGTGTCTGACGTACAGAAGTTGGTGTGTGTGTGTGTGTGTGTGTGTGTGTGTGTGTGTAAGCATGTGAGTGTTTATAGAGGGATGAACCAGTCATTTATTGACAGAGCTGAGTCTACTTTAGAGCTGGACGTCATGTTTCTACTTCAGAACATTCTATACGTCTTCTATTTCATGTTGTCTAAACTGTAACGGCCAAACTTTTGCTCCTGTGTGTCTGTGTGTGTGTGTGTGTGTGTGTGTGTCTGTGTGTGTATGTGTTTGTGCGTGTGTGGATACCTGCAGTGCCATTGTGAGCGCCCCAGCCTGTACCACAGCGTTGCTATGGGTTACTGTACTGACCCCTAGAGTATGTGGTTGACTAAATTTATGGGATGGCAAAGGGAGGTACTAGCTCATCCTTTTGTCTAAGCAGTTGTCTGGGACAGAAAACAAACACACACGTACGCAAACACACTCACACACAGACACACCACACTCACACATAGACACACACAGACACACACACACTCACACATAGACACACACAGAGAGACACACACACATAGACACACACACACACACACACAGACAGACACACCACCATAGACACACACAGACACACACTCACACATAGACACACACACACACATGGACATACACACACAGACAGACACACTCACACATAGACACACACACACACACACACACAGACATACTCACACTCACTGCTTTTAGCATGTGTATGTTACTTCTACTAAAAACTCTACACAAGTAGAAAGTGAAACATGACTGTAAATTAGTATAGCACAGCCCCAATCCCCAGCCTGGCCTCCAGGTGCAGGGTGGGTAGGGGGTGGGTGGTGGCGTCTCAGCCCCACCAGGGGGGCACCAGCCTGGGCCTCTGACTCACTCTGGACTGGTGATTCAGAGAGGCCTCCATCACACACCACACACACACACACACACACACACACCAGCAACCAAACATCATGCAGTCACCTCCCACTGGACAGAATAGTCACACACGGTGGTTTCAGTACTCTTTCTTTCACTCATTGTAGAGCCTGAGAGCGAGGGAGACAGACACACACACACACACACACACAGACACTCACTGTGATTGCTGTTGCGAACCTGCTATGGCCCTGTGGTGAACCCAGATGCCTCTGGTCCCCAATGTATGTGTTAGCACGCACATTAGTGTGTTTTTTTGTGTGTGAGAGAGAGAGAGAGAGAGCGAGAGAGAGAGAGAGAGAAAGAGAGAGTGTGTGTGTGTGTGTGTGTGTGTAGGGTATATTTGCTCCGGTCCTGCTGGTGTTGCCGTAATCACTTTTTAACTGGTTGTCATGGTTATTGAGCAATCTCTGTGGTGACGGTTGTAGTCAGGGGAGAGAGGAATGTGTGGCAGACATCCAGGAGGGAGCAATGATGTGTGTGTGTGTGTGTGTGTGTTTGTTGACGGCTGGATTATATCTTGTCTGCTGTGTCTCTCTTCCTCTTCCATCTCTCCAGACCATCCCTCATTCCTCTTCTCTAGTGCCCTCTCTTAACCTCCCCATCCATCCATCCATCCATCTTCTCTCCCTCTCATCTCTCTCTTGTTCCCCCTCTTCTTGCTCTAATTCTCCTCTCCTTCTACTCGTGGGGATCCACACTGTGACTGGATCTGGCAAGTGCTGGCGTGAAGCACGTTGTGTTGGGCATTGTGTCTGTGTATCATTTGGAGTGTTGAGTAGTATGTCGTGTGTGTGTTGTTAGTTGGTGGTGGGGTAGTGAGGGGAGGTGTGTGTTGGGGGGTGAAGAGGGGCGGAGGGGGGAGCGTGGTGGGTGGGGACGATGCGGGCGGGATGGCGGATGGTGGTGGGGGTGGGCCGTAGGAGGTGGGGGGTGGCTGGGTGGGTGTGGGTTGGTGCTTTTGTGCCTGGTGGGGGGTTGCAGGAATTAATTAAATGAAGTGTACGAGCGGTGAGGTTTATGTGTGTGTGGGGAGGTATGAAGAGAGGGTTGGGAGTTATGAAGAAGGGAGTGCGCGAGGGAGCTAGGAGGAAAAATGTAAGGAGGAGAAGAGACAAAAAAGGTTATGGTAGGTGAATTACCTTAGAAGAACTGCGAAAAAAGAACACGCGAATCGGTAGTTGCAGAGACCCAGAGGAGAGGACAAACAAAAAGGCATAAAGAAGAGAGAGAAAGAACGAGGCCGAAAGAAGGAGAAAATAAAGAGAAGATAGCAAAGCATGAGAGATAGTTTAACGAAGGAATAGAGAGGAGCAGAGGGAGACTAGAGTCCTAGAGTTCTCCCGAGAGAAGATAGCGCGCGAGTTGACAACAAGACGAAGAGCGAGAACATGGAATAGCGGAGCAGAGGATAAAGCAGATAGAGATGAGCAGATAACGAGCGCTGCTAGGTTGGAGGGGAACAGTCACGAGAAGGTCCTACGCTCGCGCCGAGACTTCTGCTCTCCATCCTCTCTCTCCTCTCTCTCGCTCTCTCCGCTAGTCTCCCTCCTCTGCAATTAATTGCAATCAATGAAGGGCTTATTGGCATGGATAAACATATGTCACCTGCCAAAGGCAGTGAAAAAGGTGAAGGTCGATAGAAGTGGTGAACGTAGTAGATAGTAAACCAGAAAGTGGAAAGTCGGAAATAACAAATAAATAATTAACAGTAAACAGTACAAGCAGAAAGTTACAAAAGAATAAAGACATTTCAACAGGTAAATTATTGTTAATGAACAGGGGTTCGTTTTGTTTCGTGTGTGTAATGTGGTCTTTCGTAAATTGTGAAAATAGTTTTAAAGTAAAAACTGGGAGAAAAATAGAAAATAATATAAAAATTAAATAGGGTGTAGTTACAATGGTGTTTTGTCTTCAATGGTTGCGCCGTGTTCTTTGCGTGGCAAAAGGTAACAATTCTTTGCCAGATCTGCTGCAGCTCGTTGTATGGGTGCACCACGGTGGTTTTCCCCACAAGTTAAGTTAGATAAGGGAAGTTGTAGTGAAGTAGTTTTCTCAAAATTGGGTTTGTTTTCTATCTTTGTGGATCGGTAATATGAGGGAATATTGTGTCTCTAATGGTCATAAATGTTGGCAGGGGTTTAGGAAAGTGCACGCTCGTTTCCACTCATTTGGGGCCAGGGGGCACCTAAGCCTGTTCTCTCTTGAGAGCCAGTGGGTCTGCCTATGGCGGCCGCGTTATTGTCTCAAAGAGCAAGGCTATGATAACGGAGGGGGGACATAGTCAAAGCCTTTCCTCTCTCTCTCCGTCTCTCTGCTTCACTCTCTCGCGTGCTCGTACGTCTTCTCGTCTCTTCGTCCGATCCCCCTCGCTTCTTCTCTCTCTCTCTCTGCTGCTCTCTCTCTCTCTCCTGTTCTCTCTCCCATTTCCCCCATTTGACGTATAATAGGGGGCGTAGGAAAAGTAGGATGATCGTGTGTCGTGTGTAAACAATGGTTAAAAGATCTGAAAAAGCTTTTCAGTGTCCTTATTAAGACCAGGATCTGTGTTTCCACTGTGTACACTATGCCCCCCCCCCCCCCCCCCCCCCCCCCCCCCCCCCCCCCCCCCCCCCCCCCCCCCCCCCCCCACCCCACCCCCACACACCCACACAAACTACACACACACACACACACAGCCCTCTGCCTAACCGTTCACCTTCCCACACGCGCACAGAAACCACAGGAATGTTTTAAAGCCATCTAATTGGAAAACACTGTAATTAAGCTGCAGCCTCTGCGTGAGTGTTTGTTCGTGTGGTGTGTGTGGTGTGTGTGTGCCACTGTTTCTCATTTGTAGTTATTGTAATTGTTTCCTTGTGCAGTGTTTTAGACCGGGGCACCGAAAACCAATAGGAAAGCTCATAAGGAGTCATGATTTGTGATTGCAAGCCCCACATGAAGGGCACTAGAGAATCAACCCCTTCTATTGTGTTCTATATCCATATACACAGTTACTATAATGCTATATGCTCTTGCTCTTGCAACATGTCTTAGCCCCACAATCTAATGCCACCTCCCTGATCAAACTTTCACCCACATAGTAACCCTCCGAATCTCTTCTCCCCTCTCTCTCCCCCACACCCAGATATGTATCCTTCTCTCTCCTTCTCTCTCTCCTCAGCTCTCTCTCCTCTGTCTCGGCTTTGTCGGATTTCTGCTCCTCCCCTCTCTCTCTCTCTATCTTTTCTCTCTCTTTCTCTCTCTCTCTCTTCCTCTCTCTTCTCTATCTCCTATCCTCTCCCTCTCCCCCCCCCCCTCTCCCTCTCTCTCTCTCTCTCTCTCCCTCTCTCTCCCCTCTCTCTCCCTCTCTCCCCCCTCTCCTCTCTCTCTCCTCTTTCTCTCTCTCCTCTCGCCCTATCTCTCTCCTCTCCTCTCTCCTCTCTCGATCTTCTCTCTCACTCTCTCTTCTCTCGCTTTCTCCTCTCGCTCTCCTCTCTCCCTGTCAGGTCTTTGTTGTCGGAGGATAAGCTGGTGTTCTGTAATGGCCTGGTGCTGAGCAGGTTCCAGTGTCTGAGAGGTTTTGGAGAGTGGCTGGACTCCATCAGAGACTTCTCCTCTCATCTACAGAGTCTCAACCTGGACACCTCAGCCTTCTCCTGCCTGGCTGCCCTGGTTCTGCTCACAGGTAACACACCCACCCATGTGCACGCACGCACGCGCACACACACACACACACACACAGGTAACTCACACATATGCACCCACACATAGGTAATACACACACACACACAGGTAATACACACCCAATCCTTTGTTTGTAGGCTTTAAGTTAAGCCTTCGGTCACTCAGTGTTGTCACGACAATCAGGTTAAATTCACTGACGTCTCACACACTCACACACACACATACACACAGCTTTATTTTCGTGAAATTTCAGGACTTTTTTGGAACCATTAAAAATCCTATTTTCCCTAACCCCTAACCCTAACCCTAACCCTACCCCTTAACCTAACCCTAACCCTAACCCTAAACCTAAACCTAAACCTAACCTTAACCTTAACCCCCAAACCCTAAACCTAACCCTTAAGCTTAAAATAGCATTTGGACAAATTCAGGACCTGAAGAAAGTCCTGACTTTTCAAAAAAGTTATTGTTTTCCTACCTCAGGACATTCGGGTGAATTGTTAGGACATTGGAGTCCTGATAATGTAGGGAAACAAGTACACACACACACCCTAACACACACATACACATATACACACACCCACTAACACGCACACACTAACACACACACACAAACACCCTAACACCCTAACACACACAGTAACACACACACACATACTAACACACACACTTAAACACACCTCTGTCCGGAAGGTACACCTGATCTCCGGCAGCACCTGCTGCACCTGCCTGACACCTGGTCCCTTAATCAGAGCATGAGTGTGAACCATGTAGGAGCATCACTGATTCCTGTGTGTGTGTTTGTGTTTGTGTGTCATGTGTGTGTGTGTTCTGCTGAATGCCTCCTGCACGGAGAACAGAGAATACACTCTCCGACTCTACCCCCCCCCACACTTCACCAGTGAGTAAAGAGCTGAGAGCAGACAGAGGAGAGCAGAGGGTCATTCAACAAAGAGAGACACTTTATCTCACTCTTTTATTTACCCTCGTTTAACTTTTTTTTGCCTAACATGTTACTCTGAGATTTCAAATTCTACTACACCCCTCCCCCACACACAGTCCCATCCCCTCCCTCCCCCCCATCCTCTTCTCGTCCCCGTCCCCGTCCCCCACCCTCCCCTCCCTCCTCCCCTCTCTGGGGGAGCACTTAACTCCGTGCCGGATCGACCGGGTCACCGCGGAGCTCGGCTCTGGAATCGTGTCCACACGGCTCTCAGTGGCAGTCTGCCGCCTCCACACAGCACACAGGACACTGCTACTGTAGAACCGCTAGAGCCGCTAGAACCATCGACCGAGGCAGAGTGGCCTCTGCAGAAAGACAGCCATCGATCCCTCCCTCCCTTCTCCCCAGGAACTCAGTTAGAGAGAGAGAAATAATGGATTCAGAGAAGAATGAGAGGGGTAGAGAGGTGAGGGAGAGAGTATGAGGTCTGAAAGCTGCCTCTCTCAGTGAGAGGTGAAAAGGACCTTGACAGTGACTGCAGCACCAAACACACAGACCGTACAGAGAGTAGACGTCTCACACTGAGGCTAGTATTACAACTTTCTACACCCACAGTACACACACACACACACACACACACACACACATACACTCTTACTGATACACAGCGACTCAAACTACGAGTGTGTATATGTATTTTATGTGTGTGTGTGTGTGCATGTGTGCATGTGTGGTGTGTGTGACTGTCTGGACACCCTGTTCTCTACAGAATGAGTTAGTGTCACATTAAGGCTGGTCGGGGTGCCAGTAGGGTTGCTAAGGGCAGTGGAGTGTGTGTGTGTCTGTGTCTAATCTCATTTGGCTGCTCACAGGAGCGAATAATCTGCTAATTGTTGAGCACTGGCTACTTGTGTTGATGTCAACCTCTTAGAGAAGGCGAGTGTGTTTGTGTGAGAGTGCGTGCTTGAGTGTGTATGTGTGTGTGTGCGCGCTTGAGTGCGTGTTTGTGTGTTTATATGTAAAATTGTCACAGGACTCGGTTGGGGGGGGGGGGTATATTAGGTTAGTGTGTGTATTGATCTGCAGTGAGAGAGACAGACAGGGTGTGTGTGTGTCTGGGAGGTTTAGAGCCTGTTTAAGGTTTAAGGCTGCGGTAACATAATAACAACAAGATCCACAGGAGCTAATGAGATGGAATTGAATAGAAAACAAGATGGAGTTTGTGCTTTGAGCTGGCAGCGCTCTGAGCAAGTGGAGGAGCACTGTGTGTGTGAAAGAGGAGCACTGTGTGTGTGAAGGAGGAGCACTGTGTGTGTGAAGGAGGAGCACTTTGTGTGTGAAGGAGGAGCACTGTGTGTGTAAAGGAGGAGCAATGTGTGTGTGAAGGAGGAGCACTCTGTGTGTGAAGGAGGAGCACTGTGTGTGTGAAGGAGTGGCACTGTGTGTGTGAAGGAGGAGCACTGTGTGTGTGAAGGAGTGGCACTGTGTATGTGAAGGAGAAGCACTGTGTGTGTGAAGGAGGAGAACTGTGTGTGTGAAGGAGTGGCACTGTGTGTGTGAAGGAGGAGCACTGTGTGTGTGAAGGAGGAACACTGTGTGTGTAAAGGAGGAGCACTGTGTGTGTAAAGGAGGAGCACTGTGTGTGTGAAGGAAGAGCATTGTGTGTATCTATCTCTCTTTGTATATCTGTTTGGTCTGTAACCCGTCTTTTGTCCCCTCTGTCTCCACAGAGCAGGTCCCAGGACTGAAGGACAGTAAGCGCGTTGAGGAGCTGCAGAACAAGGTGGTCTGTTGCCTTAGAGACCACCTGGGCTTTGGCCCCTCCTCCTCCTCCAAAGCCACGCCCCCTCTAAGTCGTGTGCTGGGTGTTCGGGCGGAGCTCCGCTCCCAGAGGACCCAGGGTCTGCAGAGGATCTTCTACCTGAAGCTGGAGGACCTGGTCCCGCCCCCACCTCTGATTGACAGGTTCCTAGACACTCTGCCCTACTGATGCTGCCTGGGCTGATTACACCCACACACATGTGTCACATCCTGTTTAAGACACGCCCCCCCAGAGCACGCGGCCACGCTTAGAGGAGCGAGACTCGCTGAGCTATGCTGAGAGACAGCCAATCAAATTGCTTTTCACTCATTAAGGACAACCAATCAAAAATGCTTTTCACGCAAAAAGACAATTATTCATATGCTTACCACTTTTTATCTGGTCCTTGTTTTTCTCGTGTGATGGGACGATTTGAAAGGATGACAAAAAAATGAAAGTGACATTTCTCTGTCCTGTTTTAGTATGGTTCTGCCTGAAGGAAGAAAATAAGACCCACGTCTTTGCTTTGTTCTGGACTGGTTTGGCCTGCTTCAGTCTGGTTCGGTTCAGTCTATAGCAGTCTGTCCTAGGGGGGAGGGGAGTGCAGGCTATGTGAGTAACTGTGTGACGCTCTGATGATGTCCCAGGGAAACAAGGAGCTGCGTTTTTTTTGTTCCTCCTGTGAAATTGGAGGAAGGGGACATTTAAAAAAAAAAAAATAAAGTTTTCTATCGTCCAGTCAAGACGACGTACAGCGTGAGTGTGGGTAACCCGGCAATCTGTGTGTGTGAGTGAGCTTAGTCACACGACAGAGTCTCCAACAGAACGCATTAAAACAGAAGATATAAAACACACAACACACACAGTGAAGTGACTGCTGTTTGGCTCTTTTGTCTAAGTGCAATTTCTTTAGTGCTATCTTTTTATTTTCTTTAAGCAACAGCTAGAGATGGAAAGGTTTCATTTCAAACTCTAAATTATTTTAATACTAAGACTGGCCATGTACTGTCAGTCTGTCAGTAGCTCCGGTAGGAAGAGAGATTGGTGAGGAGAGAGGAGGTACTGGGCACTAACCATTGATGACTCAGTCTCTCAGACTTGAACTGGCTGTAGTAGATTTAAGAATGAACTCTTAGGATTATTGGAGGAAATTACGCAAGCAGCACTTACACCCTCAGAGGGAGAGAAGCACAGACACCTTGCTCCCCGAGAGAGGGAGCGAAGAGGCAGAGAGGAGGAGAAGAGGAGAGGAGGAAAGGGGGGCTGGGAGTAGAAGGGTGCACGATGGATGACTGTAAGGGGTCTGGGGGGGGGGGGGGCGTTGAAACATTCCGCAGTCATGCTCTTTTTGTATGTTTGTAATATGGAGGCTGTGAGAGATTGGAGGACTGTGTTACTGTCTATGTGTTTCCGTGTAGGAGTACAGGAGCATATGCATGGTGTGTTATAAGCTGTTATAAGCTCTTATGAAGCTGTTATGACAGCCTGGCCTGGTTTGTGTGTCAGACTGCGCCTGTGTGTGTGTGTGTGTGTATGTGTGTGTGTGTGTGTGTGTGTGTGTGTGTGTGTGTGTGTGTGTGTGTGTGTGTGTGTGTGTGTGTGTGTATGGTCCCCCCCCCCCCCCCCCCCAATCCCCCGGCCCTCCACCATATCACATCACAGACTCACTCACAGGCATCCGTTTGAAAGAAGGAAAAAATAAAATTCTATAGATATATAAATATATATATATATATATATATATATACAAAACTAATATTTTGAAGTGTTTTTAGCTTTTTCAAATATTGTGGTACAAGTTGTGCATTGTTTTTTGAAGAAGATAAATTAAAAGAAGAAAAAAAAGTTTTTGTCAATTTCCGTCTCTGACTGGAGTTTCCTGGTAGTTTTATTTTTCTTTCTCTTTGGTTCACTGGAGTTTCTGTTCAGCACTTTGACATCATAAAGTAGACCTGATTATTCTGACTGAGTCTGCTGTTTCTATTATTATCATCATTCATCATCATCATCATCATCTTCATCTTCATAATCTTCATCTTCATCATCATCATTATCATCATCACCATCTTCGTCATCATCATTATCATCAACATCATCATCACCATCTTTGTCATCATCATCATCACCATCATCATCTTCACTCACAGTACCATGAAATAATGCTCTATCAGGACAATGAGGGAAACCAGAGGATTCACTGCAAGGGATTGATCCTGCACACGTTTCTAAATAAAATGAAATAAAAATCACTGAATAAGTGTGAGATGTGGAGTGAAGTGCTTTGTGTGTGTGTGTTTGTGTCTGAGCGTGTGTCTGAGCGTGTGTGTGGTGACGGTTGGTTCCTGTTGACAGGTAAGGGGGCTCTCCTCTCCCTAGGGACCCTTGGTCTCTCACACGGAGGAGAGGAGGATTAGGAGGGATGGGGAGTAGAGACGCTCTAACATCTTGTCCCTCTGTCAAAGAGAACGATGTCCCTGTGTCCAGTAAGCTGACAGGTGAAAGGAGCGGCACACTGTGTACAGAGTCAGTGTGTGTGTGTGTGTTCAGAACGCTCTAACATCTTGTCCCTCTGTCAAAGAGAACGATGTCCCTGTGTCCAGTAAGCTGACAGGTGAAAGGAGCGGCACACTGTGTGTTAATCCTCCTCTGACACAGGTAGTGACAGTGTTGAGTGACGAGTAACATAACACCAACACACACAGAGAGCAGAGAGCTCAACGAGTTGAGTGAAGACAGGGACACACTCACACACACACACACAGAAGGAGCTGTCAGTCTCTGCCAGCCGATCGATCAGCGCTGACAGATAGCAGATACCCCCAGAGTCTTAATTAGAGCTCCCATTAAAACACACACACACACACACACACACACACTGCTCTCACAAACATACTCGCTCTAAGCAGGTGGTATCCCACTGTTTGCATTTATTTATTATCAGAGATGGAGGCAGAATAGCCCTTTGGGATGTAACATCTCATTTTTAAAGGGGATCCTGAAAACAGTTTTTGCAAACACATAACAAGGTTGTGTGTGAATGCAGCAGTAACCAAACCAACAACAAAACAGTACAACATGGTAAATATTATATACATTAAAAAAACTGGTATTTCTTTGTAGAAAAACGAAGGGAAGGAAGTGCTGCTGGAATACAAAAAAATGACCAAGGCACTCTTCATATAATTAGTTTAAAATGCCTTTATTTGAGTTATGGCATGTTCAATCGAACAAAACGTTTAAAACTCTGACGCGTTAAGGCCATGCTGCTGAAACACTTCAGTGTTGTACACTTTTTGTTTTATTGAACATGCCATAACTAAAATCAAGGCATTTTAAACTAATTATATGAAGAGTGCCTTGGTTCTTTTTTTGTTTTTGAGGTATTTCTTTGTGTTGTTGTCTGCCAGTACTTAAAACTGGTAAAGTCAGGTGAGTATATTATGGGGGGTAATGTGATATTAATGAGTGGGAGGGGCTCCCCGCTGAAGCACTTCCTCTCCTGCTGAGACACATTTCCTGGATTACACTGAGATGGATGGCACCTGCGTCCTGCCACCACACACACCAGCACACACACACACCACACCAGCACACACACACACAAGCACGCATGTAAACACACTCGTTCATATACTGTAAAACTTACATTAATAGCCGGCGTTTATTTGCTTCATCACTGAACACAACCGGCGCTTATTAGAGACAGGCTTCTATTTGAGCCAGGCGTCTATTTCCTTAACGCACACAGCTTTTGCTCAATAAAATGTTGAAAAGACTACCACACTGTTTATTGTGACCAGTATTGACATTATAATACAAATCCACTCGCAGATCAGACATGCAAAGACTAGGCTGCCTATCATATACCCCCGATTTCGGGCTTCAGCACCATTATCTCACGTTGGTATCCACCATAGTTGAGCCGACCATGTCAAACCATACTGCTGTCTCGTCCATGACAATGATGTTGCTCTCCTTCATCTTCTTTACGGTACTCACTGTAGTTCACTCGCAAACAATTCATTTAGACCCGGCATTTATTTGAAACAGGCGTTTATTTGCTGAAATGTGTGCCGATGCCCGGCTATTAAAAAGGACAGCTATTTGAGACTTTGCGTTTAATTGAAGTTTTATGGTACACACACATCTGAAACAACACAATGTTGTTGTGGTGTGATGTGGGTGTTCAGACTTTCACTGTCTGCTCAGTTCCTCCCCCTCAGTCTGCTGTGGCTCTACCTTTCTGCTACGGGAGTCTCCCTGTGGGACTGGACACACACACACACAAACACCAGGGGAGCCCCCCCTGCAGGTTTGGTGTTTGAGGCCCAATGACATAAATATAGGCCTCCTCAAACACTTTCCATCCAGCACAGGAAGTGTGTGTATGTGTGTGTATGTGTGTGTGTGTTTGTATGTGTGTGCTAAATGTTAAAGGTGAAGATGATTCAGGGAGACAGAGGTACAGAGGCTTGCTATAGACCTGCTTATCTCCCAGCAGGACCAGGGGAGCATGCTGCTCTATCCCCAATATCACACACACACACACACACAAACACGCACACTCACACACACGCATACTCACACGCACTCACACACACACAAGCACACACAAACAAGCACACACTAACACACACACACACACACAGACAATAGAGAGCCATAGGAGATGGCATGTCCATAATAATCCACTCTAAGCCTAGTGCTGTACTGGCCCAGCCAGACCATGCACCTGGCACCACTCCACCCTCCTAGCAGCTCCACATTATAGTTTGTGTATGTGTGTGTGTGTGTGTGTGTGTGTGTGTGTGTGTGTGTGTGTGTGTGTGTGTGTGCATGAGTGGAAATTCTAGCTGTCCTCGCGCGTCACACATTGGTCGATGTTATTTGCCTGACATGATCAATATTGTGTACTCAATCAATATAGATGTACAACTTGGCGGAAGTTCAATTCCTGCTTTTACAAAAATGGATATGAAATCAGTGACTCATCTATTGCTATAACATTCACTATTGAACTTAATTCAATAATCAGACGTTCAATTAATAAGAAAGGTTACTGTATAGGCCTGCTGGAGATTCAGGCTCTAGGGGCAGATCGTTCTCACTGTGGGCTAAGGTTTTAGATCGGAAGTAATTCGTCTGCGCACAAGGAAGAGAGTTGTTTACAAACAGAAGAGAAAGTTGGA